GAACCTCCATTAAGGAGAAGTGCCTTAATTCTCCTTTCTCTCAGCCTAGAAGAGGACAAAGCCTTTATCCAGAAGCACATGGTCTCCTGGGTGCTGTCACTGGCCAAACACACTTCGATTTTCTGATTGGCTGTTTACTCACATGCTCCAGATTAAATAAGGACAACAGTTGTAATTAGAAAAGAAAGTAGGAAGTCAGAAGGAAACACATGTAGTAAGGAAAAAATAAAACAAGTTGAGTAAAAGGGAAAGAAAAAATCACAGGAGAAATCATTATAAATTCATGTGTAACAGCCACACATGAATCTACCACTTGATTGGTGAAGTCACATGACATGGATGCAGATGAGGCTGACTGGAAGAGTAGCTGGGCCTCAGACCTTCCCTTCTGGGTTCTCAGCATCCCATCTACCCTTCCAACTGCCCCATGTCTTCATTCAATTCCTACCCAGGCCTGTGCTCAGTCCCTCTTGCTCTAAATCTCTTCTTTCTTCTTTCCTTTCTACATTCCAATTAAAGTATTCCTTTTACTAGTTATAACAGCAAAAGGACCTTTTAAAATACTTCAAAGCCCTGGCTGGCGTAGCTCAGTGGATTGAGTGCGGGCTGAGAACCAAAGTGTCGCAGGTTCGATTCCCAGCCAGGGTACATGCCTGGGTTGCAGGCCATAACCCCCAGCAAATGCACACTGATGTTTCTCTCTCTCTATCTCCCTCCCTTCCCTCTCTAAAAATAAATAAATAAAATCTTTAAAAAAAAACACTTCATAGAAGAGTCTATTGATCAGACCTCATTATACTGACTTACCAAGAATATTCATACCCAAACAGGGGACAACAGAATGAATTCCCAATGGTAGATTATCAGGCAGGATCATTGGAGGAAAGGAGGGGAGGAAGAGTATAAAAAAAAGGGTGGAATGAAGGAGAAGGGAAAAAAATATTTATTGAGTGCCATTTAGTTTTACATATAGCACTCTGAGAGCTGGGCCAGATGGCTGTTGGTTAGAGTACATTAATCCAGATCTGAGCTGATTCCTAAAAAGAGGGGCCGGGAAGTATTGGGAAAGGCACTTCTATGACCCTGTCATCTTATGATCCTGACATTATATACATCTGGGAAGTGGACAATAAGCGTGAGTGATAACTAGACTCTATTAGTGCTTTAAAAAAATCAGTCAACCACTCTAAGGCCCAGTATCCTCTCTTATAAAACAAAGCTATTAGGGCAGGGGTTGGGGAAGGAGTGGCCTGTACATTTTCTTCTCATTCTTAAGTTATATAATTCAATGAATTTTGTCAAATTTTCCCCTCTATAAGATCACTCCTATAGGAGATAAACATGCTTTATCTCTCCAATCTTTAAAAAAAAAATCTCCTACTGCTTCTCCCTCTGGGCACAGCTATATTTCTCTAATCCCTTTTCAACAACATTCCTTGGAAGAGGTGGTTCATGATCCTGTCTCCACTCTTTCTCCTCCCACACTCTACTGCATCACAGAAACTCTTCTCATAAATACCACCGATGATCTCATCTACCGTCAGTTGTTCTTATGACTATTAGCAGCATTTTTGTTTCTTTCTCTCTCCACTCATGCAATGGATGACTTCATCTGTTACATGGGCTCAAAGACCATCTATAGGCTTATGACTCTAGACTCCCCTCTTGATGCCAGGCTTGTATATCCAAATGCCTACTTGAAAACATTGCTTAGCTATCACGTTGGTATTTCAAATTTAACATGACAAAAGTTCCCACCTTTAGCTTTCTCTTTCTGAAGACTTTTCAGCCCATTAAATGGCAATTCATTGTTCCAGCTGCTCAAGCTATAGCTTTGAAGTCACTCTTGAATCCTTTCTTTCTCTAACACATTATCTCTCAACCATCAGCAGATCCATTCAGTTCTTCCTTCAAAACACAAGCAGGAGTCCAGCCATTGCTTTCTACTTCCACTACTATCATCATCTCCTACTCGAATTATTTCAGTACCCTCTAGTAACAGTGAAAATCTATGTTGGAAACAGATGGTCTACTCAAATGGAATAGTTGAGAAGAATTTAATAAAGGGACTATTTACAAAAGTGTGGATACGACTGAAGAAAACTAGCAAATAATGGTCAAGTGTCTTGTGTCTAGCAAGGCAGAGAGGGCCAATGGAGTCATTACCACCCTTAAACTGGAGGGAGCAAGGCCTAGGAACAATTACCTGAACAACACACACACACACCAAGAGCTATGTTCTTCAGGGACCACCACTAGGAAGGCAAATGGAGAAATAAAGACTATGAACTCACTCTCCTTCTGCCTTCTGATCTTCTGATTATAGACACAACTGAACCCCAAGCCAGAAGACAAGACAGCCTGTTGATGCAGTCCTTTAAGGTCAGCCTCACAACTTCATGTGCTCATCTGGGACAAGAGCAGAATGGAAATGGTACAGAAGGGACCTGGAAGGGAAAACAAGTGTACCTGACAAAATATCCTCATATGCAAACCAGAAATAAATATTACTGTCATTGAGTGACATGAAATAATCCACATAAAGCATTTAGCACAATGTCTGCCACATAGTTTTTAGGTCGGGGGAAAACAACTCTTGTTTGCCTAGCATCATATTTCCAAGTGTGGACTTTTATGGAGATATGCTGTCCAAACTTCAGATCATGACCAATTAGTGGGTTTCCCAGCATTTTTTTTTGAGATATAGAGAAGACCAGTATGCATCTCATGAAGTAAGGAAAAATATTGTCTCAAAAACATTACAACTTAAATACATATTAAATTCACTGTGTACTTATATGTGCATGTATATGTGTTTATGTGTATGTTCAAGTATGTATTTTTCCCCAGGTCACTATGTAAAATATATTTCTTACTAAGAATCTTAATCAAAAACTATTTGAAAGCCACAATGCAAGAACACTGCTGACTATGCCCTCTCACCTCTCACTTATTCCTCCCCAAGAAGTGAATGACTGACTTGATTGACAAATCTGAGAGGAAAAAATGAGCAGGTGTGCTGGATTCCTTTCTCTCATGCCTGCTAGTTCCCTGTTTTGTCTTCTTTTATTCTCTGCAGTAGACTAAATATTGGCCCCCAAGGACATCAGGTCCTAAAACCTGGAACCTGTGAATATTATATGGCAAAGCCTTTGCAACCAAGATTATGTTAAGGATCTGTGATTAGGTTAAAAGTCTTGAAATGCAGAAGTTATACTGGATTATAGGTTTGGGCCCTAAATGCAATTATGTGCATCCTTTAAGAGGGAAGCAGAGGAGATTTTACACATGGAGGGGAAAGGCAATGTGAAGATGGAGTAGAGATTTCAAGATACTGACCTTCCTTGAAGACTGAAGTGATGCAGTCACAAGTCAAGGAATGCTGACAGTCACCAGAAGCTAGAAGAAGCAAGCGATGATTATTTACACACTCATCAACTGGCAGACATTAAATAAAATTACTTTTAAAGGTTCTCTCCATGCCCTTAGTGGGTAGGGCAGGGAATCCAGGTTTACATCTGCGAGTCAAGGTGTCATGAGACTTGGGAAGGCCTCTGCACACCAATTTGTGCTCTGACTACCTTCATAATAATAATAGCCACACACTGAGGTATAATTGTATACAGAACACACTATGTGTTTAACTTCTATCCTCACAAAAATTCAGCAAGGTAGTCATCATTGTTACCCTTGTTTTTACGAATGAGAAAACTCAGAGCTAAAAATTACTTGTGTGAGTCATACAACTAGTAAGTGACAGAGCCAGGTTGTACATGTAGTTTTATTTGCATCCAAAAAGGGAGCTATCTCCACTTCATGTGTCTCCCTTTGTTGCCCATCCCTGGCTTCCTGGGCTAAGCTTCTGTATGTTAACCTGTTCCTCAAGCAAGCTGCATGCAGTAGTTTGTAAATACCAAAAAGAAAATAATAATAATAATAATAATAATAATGATAATTTTTTTCAGAAGGCAGTGTAGCTTGTTTCTGGCATCACTTGATTATTTCTCTTGTAGTCCTTGGGTAAAGGTAGATAAAAAAGAGGCAAAAAGGAGATGTATGCTTATCACTAGTGCCTTAGTACTAGATCTTTTTTTGACAATAAATTACATTACAAAAATCTCTGGATTAAAAAACTCTTAGAAATATAAATGCAGAATCTTTTTATAGATGAGGAAAACAAAGTCAACAAATTTGCCTGTTTGTCAAATAACCAACTAGCTCATCGAAGCAGAATTTCATTGCAACATAATCATATTTCTAATACTTTGGGAAGTAACTCCAAACTTATTTTGCTCATCCAAACATTGCATTGTGAAACTTTCATTATTGTCTCCATTATTTTTCTTTTCTTAAGCATTTATGGAGGGATATATGAAGCTGATGGCCTGTAAGGGCAAAACCAAACCCTATTTTTTATTTCAGGAAAGGGGGAGAATTGTAAACAGAAATTGTAAATCGTGTTTTCAGTTGTGGGGATGAGATCTCATGATCAGAATATTAACTTTGATGAGGTAATTCCATTCCACAAAACAAAACCCCAAATACTGACATAAGGTCCTGTCAAGTCACATATTTAAATTAAAACAATTTGTAAAATATAATAATGTTACAGAGCACCCCCTGAAAAACAACGCGGTTTCTTCGATTGGTTTTCTGGAACAGTATCCCGTTCGCTACACTGGGTTGCTACCTATTTATTTGATTTCATGATAGAACTATTACGGCGTGTTTAAGGATATCATTACCCTTGACAATGATAAACAAAATAAATGGCAAATGAAGGGACTGGAAGAGAGGGACAGAGAAACTGTTCTCGAGAAAGGCTACACCATAACTCTTCAGGATTGTCTATATCAAGATCCTTCCCGGAAGGAATTTCCAAATACCCTTGGCGCGGGCAAACAGTAGAACACACAGAAGCCCCACCTTTGAGCCCAGGGAGGAGGCGAGCCTCCCGCCTATCAGCCAATCGGAAGTCGTGTTCTCCGTCTGCCCAGGGCTTGAGCGACCTTGCTCTCCCCATCGGCTTTCACCTTTTACGACAGTTTTCCGGCCTGGTTCGCGGTCGCGCCGGCCGTGTTTCCCTAGGCGCCAGTGTTTGGACATTTCGTCCTTCCTGGCGGTGGCTGCCTTACTTTCTGGTAGAGGCGTGGAGTGGGTGGCCGCGGGCTCTGGAGTGGGATGAACCGTGCACTCGGCGGAGGCAGCGGAACCGAGCAGGAGCCATGGTGAGTGCGGCCTCCGGTGTCCCGGGCAAGCTGGGACCAGACCGCGGCCTCGGCGCGTGGCCTCGGAGGGGTGGAGCCGCTGTTGTCTCCCTGGTGCGGCTCTGTGTTGGGAGAGTCACTGTCTCTGGGACACAAAGCTGTTGGCTCATCCTTCTTGAGACTTCGTGTTCTCCCATGGCCCTTCTGCAGAGAGCTCTAGCCCTTGCTGCTCCGCCCCCGGCGTTCGGAGATCGGTGGACGTGTTTGCTTACACTTGCCTAGCCCCTAACACATCCTCCCAGGACGTTTTCCACCTTGGTCTGTCCATCCCCTTGGCTCTTGCTGACACATCTCTTCTCGGTTCCTGAAACATTTTTATGCTTTTCTCGTGTTGTGTAGTCTTGAGACAGGGCACTGCTGAAGGTGCTAGAAAAAGCTAGTGTAGTGAAGCCGACGTTTAACGTTGAAATTCGTTGTCAAAATTGACAGAAACAGCCCCTTTTGCTTTTATTGAACTTGAATGTAACTTTGCGTGCCCTGAGGTGAAGATGATGTTCTCAAAGGGAGGGAAATCATCCTTTTCTTCTATAGTGTAACTCTGATACCTTTACAATGAATTGGATATAAAAGTTGTTTTAACGGATTATTAGGCAAAATATTTTCACCCTAAAAAATATTTCCCCTTGAAATAAAACTTGTGAGTTGGGATGGGGGAATGGTGCGATAGGGAGGGGTGGGAATTAGAGAAGTAAATTATTTACTCTGCTTCCCCTTACCAGGCCAGTACAGTGGTAGCAGTTGGACTGACCATTGCTGCTGCAGGATTTGCAGGTTTGTTTGTGGTTTGGGGGTGGAAGCAAAGGGAGGTTGGGAACTTTTTAATTCTTCTGTTCCTTTTGTTTTTAGGCCGTTATGCTTTGCAAGCCTTGAAGCATATGGAGCCTCAAGTCAAACAAGTTTTTCAAAGTCTACCAAAATCTGTAAGGCTTCTTAAACATTTTCATTAATTCTTTGCTGCCTGTATGGGAAGCCTAGAACTACACTTGAAGAGGGTAAATTTCCAGACATCCATGAATTTGTTTACTTTTGACGCCTTTTGCTTTCAGCAAGGAGGGTTTAAAAGTTCTGAGCATTGTAGTAGTGCCACCCTAAAAAGTCAAAATTTTATGTGAAACAGAATTGTGTCCAGAGGTGTTGACAAGCCCAGTGTCTTGAATTTAATATTGCTGTTGTTAACTATCACCTTCAACATTATCTGTCCACACCACACCAGTCTGCTCTGCATCCCGGAGGGATCTAAGGATCTGAAATGATCTATCCTTACTGTGTGGCCCTGCAGTTAGACTATAGAATGTGACTGAATGTGATGATCACACCTTTTGTGGTCACATTTCAGAATGAATGTGGCTATGACAGCTTGCTGAGTATTTTTATTGTTGCATTTGAATGTGACAGAAGACTATGGTAGGCTTTACCAATATTTGACATAACAAGGTCATAAGACCTAAAAGCCTGATTTTCTCCATATGTATCTTGAAGTCTTGTTTTAAGTCTTTGCCTTAAACCTCAAAATACCATAGAATTACTTGTCTCAAAGATCTCTAAATCCTGTTCTTGAAGCACTTCTTCTACAACAGTCACACCAAGAGATCAAATTTCACGTAGAACATGGCTTACTTGGAATCTTTTCTGCACTTCCAGAACTGGCTGAGGCACTATTCTTTTGTTTTTGTATTTTCAAGACACTGTAGGTTTTCTAGGGGAAAAAATGGATGTTTAATGATAATTAAAATATTTGTTGCTACTTATAATGCTAAATATCATGGGAATTAAAGCTATCTGAAATGTTTTAGTTTCCAGGTTCTATGAACATATGCATTCTTTAGCAGCTTTCAGTTTATTCTTGAAATCTCTTATTAATTTATTTCCTCTTTCAGGCCTTCAGTGGTGGCTATTACAGAGGTGGGTTTGAACCCAAAATGACAAAACGGGAAGCAGCATTAATACTAGGTGTAAGGTAAAATAATATCCAGTATTTTAACATTTTCTACAACTCTAGACATTAGCAAATATAAGAATGATCTTTCATTAGAAGGGAGTTATTTGTATCATGTACATTTTTAACATCTAAACACTCCAATACAAAATTCCAGTAAGAAGGCACACTGGAATATAAACACTTGAATTCGCTGAAAGATGGGCTTGCAACACATAATCACAATGCTGTGATGTACTCAATGTTGTTCTCAGTAACTTAAGTTTTTGTGGGAGAAATTCTGCCTTCATTTGTAAGTATTTAAACATGCTTTCCTTTCCAGTAAAAGTACTGTTGTAATGAATATTACCAAGTTCAATTAAATTTGAGAATTACTTATTTTTCTAAGGAGCTCTTTATTTTGTTCCCTTAATTCAGACAGTTTATCTTCCTCGTATGTTACGGACAAGGTCCGTAAACAGTTTTTCATTCTGTTGTGTTTACTCCAGTTTTGCACCTTTAATTGGCTTTTATGTACAATCTTTTTATGTGATCCACAAGCAGTCTGCAGTAAACAGTATTTTCCTTTTTGAATTAGCCCTACTGCCAATAAAGGAAAGATAAGAGATGCTCATCGACGAATTATGCTTTTAAATCACCCAGACAAGGGTAAGTAGTTATTAAACTCTTGTATGTGTTGTTGAAGTGACTGTGTAATTGTTACTAATGGAATAATTTTATTTCCAACTCTTGATTTATAATAAGGGAAATGCCTAAATCTTTGTGCAAGCATCATCTCCCAGGTTGGATCAGTTTGTTTTTGGCATCTTAAATAAATTTTCAGTTACAAATGTACTTATAAAATACTGAGCAGATATGTAGAAACTACTGTAAGTTGGAAGCAGTGATATACATTAACAATGTTTGATTGTCATAACAAGATCTGCAATTATCATTTGACTCTTTTTAAAAAAATGACTAATAGTCAAATATTGCTAACCCTACTGTTTTTGGGAGACTTGGGTTTGGACTGCATTCTCAAACAAATGTTCAATTTCAGTTAATGAAACAAAAAATGTAATTTTTTGCTATTCATTTTGACTTTTGAACTTCAGGTTACAAAGTTAACCACTTACAGAATGCATTTATTCTGATACATCTCTAAGCAGCCTTAGCTATGTTGAAAGGAAATAATTCCTTGGAATACCAAAATACAAACTACAAAGTCCATGTTCCAGGGCTCAAATCTTTCTATGGTGGAAGACTTTCATCAAGAGGGATTTGAGTTTTAACAAGGTTTTAATTTTGGGGTATGTGACTGCATAGCCTCTTTTATGAAATTTAGCTTGTATTAACTGGAGGGCTTCTGATTCAAGTCTAGGGTGTGTGCATATATTTGCATTTCTACCAGTCTTCTTCCTGATACTGATGCTTGCTGGGCTACAGACCACATTTTGAGAATCAGTGCACCAGCAGATTAGTGGGAAACGAGTTGTACATGATAGTGTGAAGACACAGTAACAGGAAAAGAAAAACTATGAAGGGCATAAAAAGGATCAAAAGCCAAGTGTGGCCTTTCCAACAAAGCTCAGAAGCATTTGAGAATATCAAGGTTTTAAAATAACACAATACAATTATATTCATTTATGACTTGCAATCATCATGAATAGGTAACTTGCATTATTTCAAAATTATGTAAGTCTATAGGTTTATGAAATCCTATTCCTATCATCAGTTTAAGCTTTTTAAAAGGTGCCATTTTTGTGGAAATCTCATTTCCCATTGGTCAAATATATTACCATATATGTGGTTATACAGTTGCAGTGTCATAATTATTTTTAAAACTTGGAATACCATTTCTGTTAATTCCACCTCTTAGATAAATATAGGGGTGCTTGAAACAAAAATAGCTTTTCACCAAGTAGAAACTGACAACCCAATTAATAACATTCCTGTTTTCTTTCTTCCTATAGGAGGATCTCCTTATATAGCAGCCAAAATCAATGAAGCTAAAGATTTACTAGAAGGTCAAGCTAAAAAGTGAAGTAAATATATGATGAATTTTAAAGTTCTTATCAGTTATGTGTACAAGTACCAGCTTTTTATAAAATGTCCCAAAGCTACAAATTTTAGAAATGATTTAGCACAAATTAAGTCGAACCCTTGTATCAGTTTGTTTAAATGTGAGGATTTTGTCATAATATAAAAGTTACAGATTACTGCTCAGTAATTATGGGCAAATACATACCATTTGAATAGAAATATTTTTCACTAATCATTTAGCAAGTCATTTAATACTTACTCAAGGCAAAGTGAACATGAAGGTCCCTGCTCTCAAGGAAGTCCAATCTAATGGGAGACTGATAATCTAGTAATTAAAATTCAATGTGATAAATACTATGATGGAAATTAGCAGAGGTTACAGGAGACTCATCTCATTGGGAAGAAAGGTTGTCAAGGTACAGAGAGCTGGCTCAGTGGCTTGGAGCTGTGAATTTAAAAATTTAGCCACAATTTGACCTAAAAAAAATTCATGTAGGTATGCATATGTCACTGACAGGATTCAGATTTCATACATTAAAAACTTGATTAAAAAAGACGAGTATGTCTTGTTTTTAAGAAAAATATGTTGTATTCAGCTAGTCCCTTCCAAACAAATTTTTTTAACATAATCAAAAGTTTTGCATTTGTTATGACCAGGGTTAAACACAATTAGCTGAACTGAAAGATTCCCTCAGTCATCAAAATACTTGGCTTAAACTTAATTTATACCATGATGAATGTACCAAATTTTGCTGTGTGTACCATGTACTCACGTTCTTGTGTGCATTATACATGGGGTTATTTAGGACCATTATTATACTCATGGTATGTAATCATGTACAATGCACACCCTTTTTTCCCCTCAAAAATTTGGGAAGAAAAGTGCACATTATACATGGCAAAATACATAAATGACATATGAGAGCAAATAGCTTACTTTGGTCTAACATATGTAAAGATCTTAACCAAAAGACTTGTATAAAACACCCAAGCTAGTTTGTGGTCATCTCCAGGGTACTTAGTATGTTTAGTTTTAAGATAATATGTGTGGCTCAGTGGATTGAGCAATGGACCGTGAACCAAAGGGTCACAGGTTTGATTCCCAGTCTAGGGCACGTGCCTAGGTTGTGGGCCAGGTCCCCAGCAGGGGGCACACCAGAGGCAACCACAGTTATTTCTCCTCCCTTAACCTCTAAGAAAATCTTTAAAAAATAATATATGCTTCATACCATCTAAACTTCATTAAATCATCTTAAAAGTTATTAATAGAGAACACACGGTCAAGGCAACACATCTAACCATATTTAGTGTTGGAATGTTTTAGGGGCATTTCAGAGTTCGGGTGTACCTCTTTTGATTTCTTTTCCATCCTGTTTCCTTGTTTAAAATTTGATCAAGTCTATTTGTCATGATTAGGCAGCCACGGCTTTTGTGTAGGAGAAATCTTTTTAGTTATTTACAGGGGAAAGAGGTATGAAGGCTCAGTTCATTTTTGTTATTCCAAGTAGTTTAAAAAGTTTTACAAAGTTACTGAGAACACTGATTTAGCAAATAGTGTACCACTTTTCCTAGGGGATATATAGGTTCCTGTGAGCCTCTGGTCACATTTTTGTCAACCTTCAATGTTTAACCTTGTTTTATGCAAGTTTTTAAGACACCTTACTTTGATGTATTGTTGATTCCTTAACATTAAACTCACAGCCACTACCAACTCATGGCCACACATCACAGCCTTTTTGTGTTTGGGAACATTAGGCACTTCTCTGAGCTTGGGAGTCATTTTAAATCAGTAAGCACAAAAGTTGAAAACACTGGGCACTAAATGGATCATGAAAAGGATACTTGTTTACAGTATAAAAACTGAAGTAAGGCAGAGCATCACTTTTTGGACAGACATCAGGCAATTCAAATTTTTCACCACTCTGCATGTCCATAAATGACTGAAAACAAGTGTTGATTTTGGGGTTACATATAAATTTTAGTGAGCAGGTGAACATGCAAAAAAGGAATCTGCTAATAATGAGGATCAGTGTATTGGCTTGCTAACCTTTTATTTCTGTCCTTTGGACTAATAAAAAAAATGTTTCTAGGACCAGGAGCTTTAAAGGAAAAAAATGGTATCAGAACTTAAAAGCAAATTTTTCAAAGACAAATACAAAGTGAGATAATATGTCAACAGGCAATTAAGCATGAACTGTAAAAAGGAAAGCTTGATGTAGGTGTATCTGAGTTAATGTAAATAGCAAAACTGTTTAGAGACATGAAGACAACAGAGACCACTTTAATACTAAGGAGCACAACAGAGCCCATTTTTCCTTCCCAGTAATCAGCTGTTTCCTCTATGTGACTTTTTCAGGGAGAAGAATCCCCCCTAGGTTACTGAAGGCTATTAAGCAAACCTACCATTTCTCTTGGGGAAAAAAAGTCATCTATATGACGGTTCTAGATCATAGTGAATAACTGATGGAAGTACATCTGTATCTTGTTAATGGTATTTCCTTATGAAACACTTGATGTGAAATGCTAACATTAACTACTTACAATGTACCAGCATCACTCTACACATTTTCTCTGTATAGTAAAAGTACACCCTTAATGGTAGCTATAGGTTCCATGACTTTAAATGAAATGATACACAGCAAAACCAAGTTTTACCATAGGCTACTGATATAAACAAATGAGTTCCTGTGGTATTTCAACATTCTAATATTGAATGAAACAATCTAGGACCTACTGTAAATGAAGTTTAATGAAGTTAAAGTAACTTGCCCCAAGTAACATGCTGGGTGAGAGCGCTGATCTTTCTCAACCCCAAAGCACCATACTGTTAACTACTGCAGTGTGCTACCTTTCACTAATCTGATGACCCAGATATTTTCCTTGGTGGTACAGAGTTCAGTCTGGTACTTTTCATTACCCATCCATCTAGCTTGGGACCTTTTTCTTTGTCACATGGTGCTTACAAATGGGAGACTTTTTTAAGGGGAGAAAGGTGAGGTTGGACACATGAAGGGAATAGGAAGATGCAGGTTTCAATTCAAACTTCTGCAGTAGTCAGGCAACTTGGAGCAGGCCATCTGTGTGCTCAGGGTTCTGCTTCATCTGTTAAGAGGAAAAATAATGGCTATCTCGAAAATTGAGTATCCCTCCACATTTTATAGGGAGGGAAACAAAAGCTAGAGCAAGTATTTGAGGTAACATACGTATTAGTCCTCAATAAATCTTTTGGGGAGTTCACACCCATAGTCTTACGTAGATCTGGCGTATCAGAATTTTAATTTATCTAGCTCCTTCCCTTTTGCCTGTGGGGACATTAGATGAGCCCTACACTACACTTTATAAAAACTGGTGATTAAAGTGAGCTATGAGTGGCCCTTGAATTTAAATCTTTTCCCACTTTTAGAATTTTAAAAGTCTCTTGCCTTCAAATATTTTCCAAATGATGGGAATACTTTTGGAAGCTTTAAACAGGAAAAAAGTAGACGTTATTTCAGAAGACTCAAACTATTCAACAAATAGTTAAGAACTTACATGAAAGTATATATAACCCATACCTATACATTCTGACTCTAGAAGCTTGGTTACATTGGGTTGGCCTGCAAGTCCATTACGACATTTCTGTACATTGGCTCTAATGCTGAGTTGTCTTTTTGATTTGATACAATTTTGTTAGGTTATGACAGCTGTTTATCAGTGTGCATTTAAAAAGAGTTAGCAAAATTGAATTTTTGTGTAGCCATTTTAGTACTGAAGATGGAAGAAGATACACATTTTCGGTGTATACTACTTTATTACTTCAAAAAAGGTAAAATGCAACTGAAATGCAAAAAAGATTTGTGCAGTATATGGAGAACGTGCTGTGACTGATCAAACAAGTCAAATGTGGTTTGTGAAGTTTCTTGGCACTATTGACCTTTTGGCCAAATAATTCTTTGCTGTGCACTGCCTTATGCATTGGAAGATGCACCCCTGGCCTCTACCCACTAGAAGCCAGTAGCAGGAAATAGCTGACATACTCAAAATACCCCAATCAATAAAATTACTGGTGAAAGTGAAAAATGTGTCTTTTATGAAAAAAACATAATGGACTTTTTAGCCAACCCCAAAATTATGGTTTCCCCTGCTATCCTTACTTTGCTCTGCTCTAAATTATAACAGAATCAAGAAAGGGTTAAAGGCAGCAAGAGGCAAAACCACTGAGAACTGGAGAAAATGAGGTAACTGGCATCTTAATACAAGAGTAAAAATCTAAATGTGAACATGCTACAACTAAAAAATGATCCTTTATCCAGCACACTGAAAACATGCCCTACTTAAAATCTTACATCAGAAATATTTAAGAACTCAGGCAGAGTGCTTCATTTAAAGAGTCTAGTCTTAACACTTGAGGCTAGAACACTTAAGTTTTTTATAAGGCATCTTGCTGATAATAACTTATAGAAGTTGTTTTGCAATTTAGAAGCATGGGGGGGGGTCATGTTTTATTGAGTATAAATAACCCCTCCTCCAAAACACATTAATGCCAATCAACATTTAGAAATTGGCTGAAAAATTTCAAAGAACAAAAACATTTGTAAATTTGAAGCAAAAAACATTTAGAATACTATCTTTTTGGTTATATAGAAAATCCTGAATTGACAGTAACCTTTTGAGTACCGCTAAACTTAAATGACCTACACTCTGCTTTGTGTTTGACACTGTTCAGAGTGCTGTGATTCTGCTTAGAGCCAACTGTTGCCTTAGCAATGGGACACAGGAAGAGCTTTTACCCTGTGTTTCCTAGTAGTCCTGACCCAATGAAAACATAGTCCAGTGTTAAGGTATAATCTGGAACAAGTAACACTTGTTACCTCAGTGGCATCAATTAATGGAATTTCAAATATAATATTTGTGTGACATTTTTCTTAAACACAAGTTGAAAATGGAGCTTGAAGAGGCTGGTGTATATATAAGCTTCAGGAAACAAGTATAAAATGATCTAACCAGAAAAACTGTAGGAAGATTTTTGTAATTAAATCTCTAAAAAATTAATAGTTAGATTCAACAAAAGTAAAAAGGATACACACATTCAGAAAATAGGCCTGTAATTCCGCCCCCCCCAAAAGACACACATTGAATCCCTAAAATACAGTTGTGGGACTTCAAGACTGATAATATCAGTGAAAAATAATTTAGCCCTTGCTTTTGATACTCTCTAGATTGCACATAGCATAATTGGGAATATCTAGGATGGACACACATAAGACACCATTTTAATTCAGCATACTCCTTCTTGAAAGTACTTGGGATTATTGTTAAATGGACCCAGGGTCCCACATAAGACTCAAGTTACGTTAATATTGGAAAGCCCTTTCTAGTTAAATCAAATACAGAGAAAGATAGTTAACTCCTATCCTGTACTTACACATACATCTTCTCAAATAGGTAAGCAAATCGACTGATGGAATTCCTCTTAGAAAAAGCTGCATTATAGTTTATCCAGTGGATTATGCACTGTATTTTAGTACTTAAAATAGTGATACAGATGAATATATATTTCCTTAGAATATGTACCTT